CCCCCCCCGTTTTTGATCCCATTCCCCACTCCACCCCTACAAAATGTCTCTGGTATATGGTTGTTCGTTATTCATGTTATTTTCTCTCCTGGTCCATTATACTCCTGCTATTAGCTCTTCTTTTAATCAACACAGGTATCCACCAAAATTTGCTTTCAAAAAAAAAAACAACTCTTTTACAAATGTGTCCATCTGTATAACAGAAAACTAGAAAAGCATTCAGCCTTGTTTTCTCTGCAAAGAGCTAACCTCTAGGTCAAAACCTTATTTCTTAAAGTGAAGGGTACATTCACTTTAAGTAAATGAAGCCTAAAAGGTACCACCTTAAAACTCAGAAGCATTACAAAGAAAAAGGGGCATCTTTAAATGAGAAAAATTGTATGAACCTAGTTGCCGACCAGTAGTCCAGTTCTCACAATGTAAAAAATTCTCAGAAAAGTCATCCTATAAAAGGCAAACCAGAAAAACAGGGAAAGGAAATAAGCTGTGAAGCCTGGTGGAATTTTGTCATGTTTAAATGTATAAAGTCATTTAAAGGGAAAAAACAAAGTGGACTATCAGGAGAGTAGAAACTGAAGCTGTGATTAAAAGGAAAAAATTATCTAAAAAGAGATCTCCATTCGCTGTAAGGAATCATTAATACTGTTTAGCAAATGTGAGCAGGAGAAAAATGCTACCATTTTTCTCTAGGGAATTAAAAGAAATGAAAGTTCAGCTTCTGCTCTTTCACCAAGGGAGCTAGCATGCTGTGAAGTCCTACAGGTAGTCTGCAATAAGGAGCCACAAAGATATTTTGGCACCAGACTTAATTAATCCCCAGTAGTCCAGAAAGTAAATACACAGGGCAACTGAAACCAGATTCCACTGTACTTGTTTCAACAGTTTTACTAAGAAGAATAGGTCAAAATAGTTTTATGTCTACCACTAGCAAATAGGTTTTATTACAAATGAAATAATCTTGTTGACAATATCATCTGTCATCTTACAAACATGAGTAACACAGTCCTAAAGTAATAGTAATCTCTATGAACTGAGATTTTCTTAGAAACAAACAAATGAACTACACTATTAGTAAATCTTGTATCTAAATCTATACAGCATTTTTAAGCACTGGAAATTATGATTTAT